ACGCGCACGCGCACGCGCACGCGCACGCGCACGCGCACGCGCACGCGCACGCGCACGCGCACGCGCACGCGCACGCGCACGCGCACGCGCACGCGCACGCGCACGCGCACGCGCACGCGCACGCGCACGCGCGCGCGCACGCTTGCGCGCGCACACACACACACACACACACACACACACACACACACACACACACACACACACACACACACACACCGAGTGCTCCCAGCGAGGCGCAACTGCTGCAAGGCATCCCCGAGGCCTGAAAACAGCCGAGTACCTACAAGAGCGTCCAAAAGCGTCTAAACTGGAAGGACGTTAGTGGCGAAGGACGTCAGAGCTCCCCTCCTCTGGGGCGCCAGACGTGGGGAGGACGTCAGGGGAGAAGCAAGACGCCGTGTGCAGGAAGGCCTCCCCCGATCGCTGCTCTTTTGTGCTTCATGCGGCGCCCTGTGGAGCGAAGCAGAGCATGCTGGACAGAAGCACGACTTGAGAGCTCGACTTGGGCTGCACGTTGCTTCGAGATCGTCAACTCATCTGGATCACGGGGAGGGAGGAAGGCTCCACTTCCTCCCCCGAGGCCTGAACATCGCCGAGAACCCGCGAAAGCGTCCGCCAACTTCGAATCTGGAAGGACGTCAGAGGGAGGAGGACGTCCAGGGAGGACGCGGACCTGCAGATGATGAGGCTTCGGGTTGCGCGCAGACCCTCGCCGTCCAGGTAGTCCTGGCTGGCCTCAACAGGCCACCCGCGTGGTCCAGGGCGGTCTCAATTCCCCAACCCTGGGGTGCGGAGCGACCCGAGGGGCGCCGCCGGAGGCGGCGCCAAAATGTCTAGACCGCCCTGGACTTCTCGAGGGGCCTGTTGAGGCCCGCCGGGACTACCGTTGGGGGGGGCTGTCTGTGCGCAGCCCGCGACCGTACCACGTGCAGAGGAGGAGAGAGGAGGAGGAGGAGGAGGAGGAGGAGGAGGAGGAGGAGGAGGAGGAGGAGGAGGGGAGGAGGAGGAGGAGAGGGAGAGGAGGAGGAGGAGGAAGAGGAGGGGAGGAGGAGGAGGAGGAGGAGGAGGAGGAGGAAAGGAGGAGGATAGGAGGCGAGAGAGGAGGAGGAGGGAGGAGGAGGAGGAGGAGGAGAGAGAGAGGAGAGAAGAAGAAAGGGAGGAGGAGGAGGAGGCGGAGGAGGAGGAGGAGGAGGAGAGAGGAAGGAGGAGGAGGAGGGAGGAGAGGAGGAGGAGGAGGACCTGCGGGGGCGGGAGGAGAGCTGACCACCATTCCTGCTGGGGCGCCGACGGGGCCCTCTCCGGGCTTTGGCTCGCCGGGCGGCCGACGCTGCAGACGGCCCTGAGTTCCTCGGGGGCTGCGCCGCGTGGCGGGGGTGCGCCTCCTCCCCCTCGTCGGGGCAGGAGGACCAGCTCCTCCTCCTCTATCTCCTCCTCCTCCTTTCTCCTCCTCCTCCTCCTCTCTCCTCCTCCTCCTCCTCCTCCTCCTCCTCCTCCTCCTCCTTGTCTAATAGCTCCTCCTTGTCGCGCCCCGAGGCGTGCCGGTAGAGCGGGCCCGGGGCTTCGCCTGAGACACCCTCGCCGTGTATGATCCTGAAGCTTGAACTTGCACCAGCTTCATGGATGAGGGTGGGTCCTTTTAGAAATGTGGTTCTTGCCTGACCGCCGAGCACATTCGTTTGAACAGCTCGCAACCATGTCTAACATGTGGGACGGGTGGCTCCTTGTCAAAATGTGGCTCTCGCCTTTGCGCCAGGCGCGTTCGGCATAACAGTTTGTGGCAATTTCATGGATTCGTGTGGCCGAGACCCTGGGGATGGTGCTTTGGCAGGGTTGAATATTATCGGACAGTTGTCTTCTAATAGGCAGAACCCATAATTAACATTGGATCCATTTCGGAAGTATGAAGAGAGAGCCTGGAAGGAGGGTTGATTGTATTTTCCCTCCTTGTCCTCCTCCTCCTCCTCCTCCTCCTCCTCGTCCTCCCACCGCCCCCACCAGCTCCTCCTCCTCCTCCTTCTTCTCCTCCTCCTCGTTCGCGGTCTCCGTGGCATTCTGGTGGTGCGGAAGGTGGGGCGTTCATATTCGCATCACGAAAGGGTCCGTTACATTCCACTACTGCCTCCTCATTCTCGGGAGAGAAAACATACTCCACCTCCTATTGCTTTTCCCTCCTCCTCCCATCCCCCCCTTCCCCCCTGACCTCCTCGCGCGGTGGAACAAAAATAAGGCGGACACCTTCTGTATAATTTTCGGCCTCTGCGGGCCGTACCCTGCCCCAGGACCATGAAACATCGACCCGGGATGAATAAAACGTCTGCGGAAAAGGGGCCGTGACCTCTGAGGGCCCACGTTGTCAACCATCACCCCAACACAGCACCCTAATAGCAGCAAGAGCGAGGAAGCGGGTCGAAGTCGTGGAGTGGAAACATGCGTTCCCGAATCTCCCTACGGATTTCCAGGCGTGGCAAAGGTGGGAACACGGCCATGTGCACCGCGCCGGGTGTTTTGCAAAAGCCCGCCGTGGCCACATGTCACAAAAGGTGAGAGTACGGGTATTTGCACCGCAGTCTGCTTGCAAAAAGGTAGTGTTCGTGTGAGGAGGGGGAGGAGGAGGAGGAGGAGGAGGAGGAGGAGGAGGAGGAGGAGGAGAAGGAGGAGGAGGAGGAGGTAGGAGGAGGAGGAGGAGAGAGAGGAGAGAGGAGGAGGAGAGGGATAAGGAGACGAACGCACTCCAGGAAGGGAAGGAGGAGGCAGGAAGTATTGAGGAGGGAGGAGGAGGAGGAGTAGGAGAGAGGGAGGAGGAGGAGGGAGGAGGAGATGGGGAGGAGCAGGGGGGAGGATCGGAGGAGAGGAGGGGTAGGAGGAGGGGGGCGAGAGTACGGCTCAGTGCACCGCAGCGTTCTTTGCACAGGCTCGTGTGCTTGTGGCGAGGAGCGCGGGCACGGCCGTGTGCAGCGCAGTGTGTTTCTTGGTGTTCCCAGGGCCCCGTGGCCGTATGGCAGGGGTGCGGGCACGGCCAGGTGTGTGCACCTCGAAGTATTTGTTTGTCCCCCCTCCCCTCGCTCCTCCTCCTCCCCTCCTCCTCCTTCCCTCCTCCTCCTCCTCCTTCCACCTCCTCCTCCTCCTCCTCCCCCCTCGTCCTCCTCCTCCCCCCTCCTCTACAATTACTCAATATGAATACTACTCTCCCTCTTCCCCCGAAGGCGGCCTGAAAATATTCGACCCCCCCCCCCGTACTGTTTTTTACACACAGGATTCCCGGGAAATGGGTTTTGTCTCCCCCCCTCCTCCCCCAAATAGGCGTTTTATTTATTTAAAATAAGCTGCTCTCCGCTGAGGCGCCGGCCTACAAGTTTTGCTCCCGAAAATCGTTCCGAAATCGTGCCTCCCGCTGCAGCGTGGGCCTCATTTTTGGATGGTGTTTTTTTGCCTCCGTCGATCAGGATGGCGTTTCATCTTCCTCGCCCACAGGCGGGCTCCTTCTTTCTCCGCGCCACATATCCCGCCCCGCCACACCACCGGCGCCCTCACCACGCCACCGCCCCTCCGCCACGCATACCAACACCGCCACTCTTCCATCCTCCACCAACGCACGCAACGGCACGCAGCGATCCACCACCGCGCACCGCCACCCACCACCTCACTAAACCCCACCCAACCACCACCACGCTAACACACGCGTCACACCACATCCAAACGCGCAGCACACACACACACACGCACTCACGCACGCACGCACGCACGCACGCACGCACGCACGCACGCACGCACGCACGCACGCACGCACGCACGCACGCACGCACGCACGCACGCACGCACGCACGCACGCACGCACGCACGCACGCACGCACGCACGCACACACGCACACACACACACACGTACACACGCACACACATACACACGCACACACACAGAGACACACACACACACACACCACCACCGCCACCACGACCACCGCCATCACGCACGTACGCACCTGGCCCACCACCAAACCACCAAGACGCCACACCACGTCACAACACAGCACACGCGCACACACGCACACACACACACATACACACCACCACCACAACAACCACAACAACCACAACCACGCACACACGCACGCACGCACGCGCACCACCACCCACTACGCACACGCGCGCGGAGCCACAGGTCCGCTACGACACGTGTCCGCGGATAGAGGAAATCAGCGCCATGGTAAGAGATGGGAGGGAGGGGTAGGATGTCAGATGTTGACGCGAGCGCACCTAACTTGTCCTCCCCCCTCCCCCTCCTCCTCCTCCTCCTCCTCCTCCTCCTCCACCTCATCCACCTCCTCCACCTCCTCCTCCTCCTCCTCCTCCCCCCTCCTCCTCCTCCCCCCTCCTCCTCCTCCTCCAGCTCCTCCTCCTCCTCCTCCTCCTCCTCCTCCTCCCTCCTCCTCCTCCTCCTCCTCCTCTTCCTCCTCCTCCTGGCCTCCTCCTCCTCCGTTGCCAAAGCCTGTGCCAGTGCAGCATGGGTGGGGGCACGGCCATGTGCACATAAGTGCAATTTCGTACCAGAGGGTTGTGGCCGTGTGACAGGGGGGAAAGAAAGCACGGCCATGTGCACCGTAGTTCATATTTCAAGGAGAGGAGCGTGGCCGTGGGGAGAGAGTGAAACCACGGCCATGTGCACCGTAGAAGCCTGAAGCTAAACGCTATTGGGGGTTACTTTGTGAGAAGGACTCAAGCAAAAGGGCATCCGTAGTCCACCGAGCGAAACTGTCATTCTGGCGAACATCTTCAAGCTCCCTGCCCCCCCCCCTGGCAGCTGCTGAGTGGCCATGTCCCCAGAACTGTACAACCCTCTAGATTGAACGCTGTTAGGGAAAGTCGCGACGACGGAAGTCTGGGTTCTCCTCCTGCTGCTCCTGCCGCGTGGCTGCGGCGCACTAAGTGTTTTGCTGAGCTAGCTCATGGCCTACCTGTCCTCCTCCTTTTGCTGATCCTTCTTCTCCAGAACTCTTACTTTCATCTCCAGCCCCCTACGTGACAAGATGCAACCAGTCTTTCACTATGGCCTCTGACGCTTCAACTAACAAAGAATTCAACGACACCCCAGGGTTATCCCACCCTGTCCATCCGTCCTCATATCTCATTCATCCTCCTTCCTATTTTTTCTTCCTCCCACCCGTTGCGCGTGACGTGGCGACTTGAGTGTCGGTTTCTGACACCGCGTGGATCGTTCAACCTTGATCGATCGCGGCTTCCCGATAGCGTGATTCGTCCATAATCGAACGTCCGATGATTCTATCAAGGCTGGCTGCTGGTGCTGCAATCTTCGTTGACCAATTCCGCTACAACACGTAAGACAAATTTCCACATACATACACATACAACTGTACTGATACCGTACAACGGGTACCTATATACATAGAGAACGGCTCCGCCTTGATCTCCGGCCCGCCGGCCGGGCTGGGTCCAGAACGCCCACAGAGGGCTCCAAGACGGCCCCAGCGCCGCAAGAGGGCCCCAAGGCAGGCCAAGAGAGCGCCACGAAGCCTTTCAGACTGGTGCCTTTGAAATAGGTTCAAGGGGGCCCCGAGTCGCCGAGCGGTCGGTCCTTGACGCTCCAGATGGCCTCCAGACGGCCCAAACGGCCTCCAAGACGCCCCAAGAAGCCTCCACGAGCCCTCTCAAGAGAGCTTCGGAAAGCAAAAATCGCCTCATTACCATCCGCTTCTACCAACTACGACTCGTCAGCCTTCACGGTGTCCAAGACGACCCTCGAGGCCTCCCAGATCACCCCAAGACGGCCCCAAAGCCCCACAAGAGGGCCCAGAGACACCCCAGGAGGGCCCACAGATGGCCCAAGACGCCCCCAAGACGGCCCAAGAGGGCCCTCAGATGGCTCCAACAGGGGGGATTCGAATTGAGATGTCGAGCCTTCCGCCTCACAGGGCTCCTCGAGACCGTCAGCAAGCTCCTACGAGGCCACAAGAGGCCCCAACAGGCTGCCAAAAGGCTCCCAGAGGCCACAAGAGGCCTCCTGACAGGCCCGAGAAGCTCTGAACTTGAATCTCACAAACGACCGCGCGCCATAGCCGTCCCAACCCGATCATAGAATGAGCTGAGGCACCAATTAGTACGGCGACGGTCAGATAGTCGATATCTCTATATATACACGTATATGTCTACGTATGTCTACGTATAGGTATGTGTGCATACATCGGCAATATCTGTGTGAGAGAAACAGCCATAACCTACAACCCGTACGTAAAATTCATCGCCACACCCTTGTTCGCAAAAGAGGGATTCAGTGTTATTCCTGGCGACGTTCATGATAGGACTACTCAATGGCCTCTCTTGAGACCTGTAGCCCCAAGGCGAATAACAAGTAGCAACTGAATGCTGCTGGCCTCCCTCAGCCTCCTCATCACCCGTCTAGACGATGTGTTTTATCTGCGCCGACGTCCGAACCAGGACGTGCCATGCCCTGACCGAGTCGCAAATCACTACGTGAGCACGATCGGCAAAGACCACGTCAATGACTGAGAATGCTGGCAGCGACCGGAGCCTCTGCTCCACTGCTGGCGCGCTTGCAGAAACACTACACCATGGTAGACTGCTGGCAGCAATGCCAATAGATTATTATGCTCTGGGGTGGACTTCTGAGGCAGCCACAGTGCAACCACGGACATGAGCACCTTCGGATGCCCGCGGCGGAGCTGCGAACGTATTTGCTTATGTTGTTTGTCTGAGCTCCTCAGCCTAGGCCAAGTTCACCTCCGGACATGCGCTGACATGGATTACGGATCCGTGGACGTAGCGCGGGGGCGCCAGATCCACTAATCGGGTAAAGCCCCCCAAAAAACATGAAAGCAATGCCGCCCGACTCGGCGCCCAACGCGTTGAGTTCGTATTGCTGCGGGGCACGCCGCGAATCCACGCGCCCGAATCCATGTCTGCGCTTCCTAGAGCGTCCAGCAGCACCTGACCCCTGGCTCCCACCTTGCGAAAAGGAAGATCGACTGCAAAGCGGATGTGCCCCCAAATTGACTCCTCGTCGAATCTACAAAGAAAACGTGCAATGCTCAGTAGATCTACGGAACATTCTGAATACTTTTGCCGCAGCTTCGGCGTGCCCTTCAACTCTGGGGGCACACAGCCTTGCCCGGCACACGGGCGCGGGGGGCCCTCAGTGGCACCTCGCGGCGGCGGTGCCGTAGCTCTCCACGTCGCCCGCTCCGAGGCCCTTCTGCTCGGCCTCCCCACGAGGAGGCCCGGCCCTCCGGCGCCCCTGAGACACATCAGGGCGGGCCTGACCTTTCAACGCACGGCCGTCAGGGCCCGGGGGGAGAGAAAGGCAACCTACCACCCTTCCCCTCCCCCTCCTCCTCCTCCTCCTCTTCCTCCTCCTCCTTCCCCAGCTGGGGGGTCGGCAGCGGGGAACCCCATGTTTGACAGTATATGGACGCCGGAGGTAGGCGGAGGGCAGAGGGAGGACGGAGGAGGAGGAGGAGGAGGAGGAGGAGGAGGAGGAGGAGGAGGAGGAGAAGGAGAAGGAGGGGAAGAGGAGAAGGAGGAGGAGGAGGAGGAGTGGGGAGGGGAGGGTGGGGGAGAAGGGAAGAGGCAGAAGGACGAGAAAGGTCGAGAAGGAGGGGGGCGAAGATCAGACATCTCCGAGGCCAGAGTGTCCAGGCCTTGCCAAGGTGGTTGATGGACAGCCCGGCCGAGGCCAGTAGCACGAAGCAAGTGACGAACACGCAGGTCATCGAGATGTTCCCGAGCAAGACGGCCAGAACAATCGCGTTCATCGGCACGCGGTAGAGGTTGTAGACGGTGCTCCTGATGCTCTCCTCGGGTCGGACAAGGGGAAGGGTTAGTGGAGGCCGTCTGGCGAATCAGCTCACCACTCGGGTGTTCGTTAACGGTGGAGAGGTGGTGATGGGGGCAGTACACGTGGAGTGAAGAAGCGTGCGCATTTCGTGCACCTGCTGGGTCCGCGGCGGCCATCCAGCATCCAGGAGCTGTCCAGGGCCCCTGATGGCCACTTTCCTGCAATCCTCGATGCCCCCGCGCGTCTGTGGACCCCCCGCTGCCGCCCGCCCGACTCACGCGAGCTGAGCTGCTTTCTCTGGCACCCCCCAGCGCGGGATGCGGCAACGTCTGGCGGCGGGCACGATACCGAAAGTGGCTGCACGCTGCAGATCTCGTTTCCCCCCCTCCTGCCAACCTCTCCCCTTCCCCTGCCCTACGCGTGCCCCCCCCCCCCCGCTTTGCAAGCTCCTCCGCCCCCTCCCCTGCGCGTGCCAAACGCCCGGTCTCCGGCACGGCCTCCCCCTTGATGGTGGAGACGGACGGGAAGTAGAGCCCGCAGCAGAACTCGAAGAGAAGGAACCCCCCGTAGATCGTGACCAGGTTCTTCACTTCCAGGCTCAGTCTGGGAATTGTTGGGGGAGAGGGCACGAGCAGACAGCGTAAACCCAACCATCGCACCAATTAAATATACCCGGGCATCAAAACCGTGCAGAGACAGGGGGAGGAGGAGGAGGAGGAGGAGGAGGAGGAGGAGGAGGAGGAGGAGGAGAGGAGAGGAGGAGGAGGAGGAGGAGGAGGAGGAGGAGGAGGAGGAGGAGGAGGAGGAGTAGGAGGAGGAGGAGGAGGAGGAGGAGGAGGAGGAGGAGGAGGAGGAGGAGGAGGAGGAGTAGAAGGTCACCGTACATTTCGGGGAAAGCGACGAGGGAGGAAGAAGAAAAACGGGGATGGGTACCAATCCGACATAACTTCTCCACCTGTGGTTCCATCCCCCCCGAAACAAGCATCACGTGTCCTCTGGATATGGTTCCCCTTTGGCTTTGTGAGACTGCGCCAGGGCCCGAGCAGCCAGCTCGGCGACTCCTGGCTCCTCAACCTCGCCTCTGGAGCTTTACCCAGAAGCAGACAGCACAGCGGCCAGCTACATGGGAGGAGGAGGAGGAGGAGGAGGAGGAGGAGGAGGAGGAGGAGGAGGAGGAGGAGGGGGAGGGGGAGGTGGAGGATGATGAGGAGGAGGTGGGAGGCGGTGGAGGCGGAAGCGGAGGAAGAGGAAGAGGAGGAGGAGGAGGAGGAGGAGGGGAGGAGGAGGAACGACACGGGCTCAGCCTGAACATGCAGCCCGCGACGAGGAACGCGACGGCACCGAGGCCGAAAGCCCACTGCGCGAGCTGTGCGGCGGAGGCGCCCCTGCCCCGGAGGAGGTCGAATGTGGACGAGCCGCACATGTACGCCATCATAAAGCTCGCGAAGACCATGCCTGTGGGAGGCGTCAAACTTACGCAACTTAGGCAATGCGGATTGTGACTTAGGACGGTACCCTGCTACTTGTGGGAGTGGCGGGAACGGGGAGCGGCACCACAATTGTCACCAATTTGGCGTGCAACGACCACTCAGATTGGGGCACGATTCGTCCGCTTTTGTCTTCGCTTGCACTTGCATGAGAATGCCAAGCATCGCTTCACACTTCGCATTATGGCCGCAGGCGTCTAGGGGCAAAACGCGTCCTCTTTGAAAACGCCTCGAACCCTGAATCGCGGAGGACCTCATCAGAAACCGCGTGCCGATCCCGAACAGGTCCATCGTGGGCCCAGGGTCGGTGTCCTCGCTCTCCTGGATTGGCCAGGGAGGTGCGTGCACCGATCCTAGACCCAGGATCGGTGGGGTGGGCAGTTGACGCCCCCGGAGTGCCAAACGCGGGCGTGGACAGCTGGTTGCTCAGGGCTGGTGTCCAATTGAAGACAAATGTGTACATGGAACCCTCGTAGAGGAACAACGGATGTCATAAACATACAGCTTCTGAGAACCGCGCGGATTTCTTGGATCGGCGCTGGAGCCCCCTCCCTGGCCCAGGGGGGCTCCAGCGCCGATCCGAAAAATCCGCGCGGACCGCCGAAAGTATATGTATACGTAGCACCCCGCAGTCGCGGATAAGAGTCAGGGGCGGCGGGGACGTCGGCAGTCTGCGAGGCTCTGGAGAAGCCAGCTGCAGGCGCCGAATTTTTACAAATTATACAGCAAGCCCGCCGCAGGGGCCCATTTTTCGTTACAGCAATGTGGGTGAGTCGCGGGGTGGGTCGCGGGTGGGTCGCGGGTGGGTCGCAGTTGGGTCGCGGGTGGGTCGCGGGTGGGTTGCGGGTGGGTTGCGGGGTGGTCGCGGGCGGGTCGCGGGGTGGGTCGCGGGTGGGTCGCGGGCCGGGTCGCGGGTGGGGACAACGCCAAGCAGCAACAAAAACAACAGCAAGAACAACAGCAGCAGCAGCAGCAGCAACAACAACCACAACAACCACAACACACAAAAAACAAACAAACACACAACCAACCAACCAACCAACCTACCAACCAACCAACCAACCAAACAACCAACCGACCAACCAACCAAACAAATCAACAAACAAGCAACAATAATCCGCATCGAGGCATTCCACTTCAGCCACGCACCCAGGGACAGAGAATGACCGTTCGGGCCCCTCACTCTGATGGTATGTTTGTTCCCCGACCTCGAAGCACGCCACCATCATCATGACGACAATCAGCTTCTTGCTGCCGGCGATGGCCTGGACGCCCTCCTTCACCTGCGTGGCGAGGTCGGCCTGTTCGCCGCTGGCTGCAGATGCCTCCGAGCCGCCGTAGTTCTCCTCCCAGAGGAAGGAGAAGATCGAAGAGGAAACAACGGCAGACTCATAAGCTTTCGAAGGTGTGTGAACAGAGTCACAGCTCGGATCGGCGCTGCCCCCCCCCCTCCCTGGCGCGCGGAGCGCGCCACGGGCGGCGCCAAAGGCGCCGCCAAGGGGGGCCTGGCGCCGACCTAAGAGCTCTGCGCGGAGCGCCAAACGATTATGTGTATGCCGTGCTCGCTTCTCTTCGAGATGAGCAGCAGGCCCACCACCAGCACGACGATGGCAAGGTCAAAGGGCGAGCAGAAGCCCCCAACGTGGAGGGCGGTCTCGCCGAGCTGCTGCAGGCCGCCGAGACCCACCGCGACGTCCCCGAGCACCTCGCGAGCGGCCACGGCTTCGCAGAGTCGACGCAGACAAGCGTGCGGCAGGTGCGTGTCGTGCCGACTTCGGCGTTGGGTTCTGGCAGCCGCCCAGCGCCTACCCTGGGCGCTGGCTTGCCTTCGGCGTCCAGGCCTGCCTGCTCGCAACACCTCCCGACCCGTGGGGCCTTTTGGCAGCGAGGCGCCCTCTTGCATCCGAGCTCCCTGCTCGCCTCCGCGGCAATCCCCGCGTGGGCCATACGCAGCGCGTCCGACTTCTGACCTTGAACGGCCCGCCGTTTCCGAAACGTCAGCTCGTTCAAGGATGGGCCATACTCTGGGCCGCAGGCGGCGTCCCACGCTGAGCGCCAGCGGCGGGATCGCCGCCGCTCGACACGACCCGCACCTGACTGCACGCACAGGCGCAGACACACATCCGTATCCGCGCTCTCGCGGTCTGGACTCCGGGGCGCCATTCCCGCAGATGTGCGCGGTCGCACGGCGGCGCCCCGCGCGAGGCACAGGGCCGCGGAGACGCGCCGCGGTGCCCGCGGGGCCGCCGCCAGAGGCCCAGGGCCGCGAGGCCGCGGAGACGGGCATGCCCCTTTCGCCCACGAACTCCCGAGACCCCAGCGTGCACGTGTTTCACACCGAGCGTTGTCCCCCCCCCCTCTTCGGCAGAGGGCAAAACATCCACCCCGATGATAGCCACCCCGACGCGCGAGGCCGGAAGGAAACGCACCCAGAGAGGTAATCAGACAGGGCAGGCTGCTCAGCAAACGCCAGAGGCCGCTTACGAAACGCCGATTCTCCCGTCCGGGTAGTCTTTCCCCCCTCTGCGGGTCCCCAGGGCCATGACAGAGCGATCCGGCTCGACAAGCAGCCGCAGGCGGATCGGGGCCGGGCCTCTGGTCGTGATGTTCCGCGGTGTTGCGCGTTTGTTCCGCAGCGTCGGGTCTCGAGGGAGCGCCCAGCCCTCCCCAGCGTCCGATGGCCTGGGCGGGTCCGTCTCCAGGCACCGCTCCCCCGCGCACCCTCCCCGTGTAGGCTCCGGGAGTGGGGCTGGAGTGGGCGGGGTCCCTGAAGCGCGCGGTGCCCACAGCTTGAATTTTCATTCGAAGCAATCGCCCTCTCTCTCTCTCTCTCGCTCTCACGCTCGCTTGCACTTCCATAGCCATTTGATAGACAAGCTGCGGTCGTGCATCGTATAACAGCTGTCACATCGAGCACACGACTGATATGAACAGCCGAGCAGAGTCTTTCGAGACCTATGCGCAAGATGTGGAGCTCTTGGTGCTGGGTGCCAAAGAAGACAACGTCACTTGATAGGTCCCAGGCTGATTCGAGCGCTGCCTGCACAGTCTGCGCAAGGGAAACTGGCCATGAGACTCAACCGCTCTGACGCGACCGATGAGCACAGCCAGCCAGTATGTCCCGAGTTGGTCGCCTGCTACAAAGGAGCAAAGAACCTGATTGAGGCGTTCAGGAGATCGCTCGGCACTCAGGTGACTGCGGACGTTGGCGATAGGACCAACAAATTTTTCTACGGAGGACCAGCGAAAACGGCGGCTTCCCGCAGACATGGTCTGACGATGTCCCAATGTATCGAGACCTGAAGGCCTAGAGCCGCTGAAGACCTACAAGATGATTGCGCCCGATCTCCGAGAGATTCTCTCAGATCAGGTCAGAGGCGTGCTGCTGCGGCGGAATGCGGGTCTCTCAGCAATTCTTCCTGGCCAGAGATCGTACACGGCAGCGTGGGTAGATGCATCCTGGTCGAGCTTGCCATCGTCGTGCAGCTTATTTCCAGGACGCCGCTGACGAGGAGTTGGAGCCGTCCAGCGTGGGTGCCATCGAGGATGAGGTGAGGGCCGAGGACGCGCAGGACGTGCAGGCGCTGGAAGAGAACGTGGCCATGTCGGAGTGTCAGGCGGCGACGGCGGCGAACAGGACTTGGGCGGAGGCTCGCAAGATCTTGCACGACTTGCGAAAGCCAGGGGTGTCTACTCTGTGGTGGGCTTGGAGGCACTCTCTCCTGGCGGGCGTGGCTCGGTGGAAGCGCGCCAGCCGGGTGGACCAGCGGGCCACGAGGGACAGCCGCGAGCGCCCAGGCCGCTGATATGCTTGATCTGCCGAGGCCCCCACAAGACGATGGACTGCCCGCACAAGCACAAGACGGAACAGCGGATGAACTCGAGGGGTGTGGTGATCGAGGAGTTGGACGAGTCATCGCACTTTGCAGGCTGCGTGTCACATTGGGACGGTCCAGACGGTCAAAACAAATGATGCCAGTGCGACCCTACCTAGGAGTTGGAGCCCCTGGGAAAGCAGCATTAGTAGTAACAGTAAAGCTAAGCTAAAGCTAAGCTGAAGCTAAGCTAAAGCTAAGCTAAGGCTAAGCCAAAGCTAAGCTAAAACTAAGCTAAAGCTAAGCTAAAGCTACGCTGAAGCTAAGCTCAAGCTAAGCTAAGGCTAAGCTAAAGCTAAGCTAAGGCTAAGCTAAAGCTAAGCTGACGCTAAGCTAAAGCTAAGCTGAAGCTAAGCTGAAGCTAAGCTGACGCTAAGCTAAAGCTAAGCTAAAACTACGCTAAAGTAAAAGCAAAAGCAAAAGCAAACGATAAAGCTAAAGCTCCAGGGGACTGGGGGAACCGCGGGGCGGATCCTGGGGGAACCGCCCGGGGCGGTTTACACAGCCCGGCCCCTTTAAGCTCAGAGAATAAGAACCCTTCTAGGCAGAGCCTAGGCAGGGAACAAGTACGCACGACGCCCGTGACGTTCGCCTTCGTCTCGATGGCTCGATCGTGGACTCGGGCGCTACCAGGTCCATGTGGGGGGTCGACCTAATCGCCCACCTCCAGGAGCAGATCTGCCAGGTCATCGGCTCGGACGAGATCCAGTATGACGAGCAGGTCAGGGTCAACTTCGCCTACGCGAGCAATGCGAAAGGCAAGAGTTTGGGAGCTGCAGGAGTGCCTCACCCGCTGGCGCTGAGGGCGCAGTGAGACTGCCTGTGGTTCGCGCTGGTCCCGACTTCAACCCCGACGCTCCTCGGCCTGGACTGCCTGAAGGCGGCGGAGGCTGACATCACGTACGACGGCTACCTGGTGTACAACGACGGTCACCGTGAGAGGCTGACGGCTCGCCCGAGTTGCCACGGGGGGCGGGCCCTGCTCTCGGGGCAGCAGCGGCGCGAGCTGCTGGTGGAGGCTCTCGACCGTGCCGCGGCCTTGCCTGAAAACGAGCGAGGCAACCACAATCCTATCCTACCTGCTCCCGCTCCCCCTCTGGGTCTCCTAAATCACAATCACCTGAACGACGTGCCCGCCAACATCCGCCAGAACCTGAACTGGGGTTAAGCGGAACACCATCGACGCAGAGCTCGAGATGCCGAAGAACAACACAACCTGGCACGACCATATGAACTGGGACAGCGTGCTCGCCAACGTGAGCTTCGAGGATAGTGTCTTCACGTGTCTTTTGACCTCCCCGCCGACATGAAGACCAAACGCGGCAAATGATTCCTGAGAGACCCTATCGCTTGGGCCGCAACCGCGATTCGCAACAGCCCCGAGGTGACGTTGCGTAGTATGGACTCTGGAATAGCGCTTGCGCGAAGCGAAGGCCCATGTGATCTCAAGCTGGCCAAGCAACAAAATAATCGGGCGAGCCCTACGCGAAACGGGCAAGGAGCCCATGAGGATGCGCCAGTGCGTGACGGACAAGAGCGCTGGGACGGCCAAAGCCCAACTTGTGCCACTGGGTTTGCAGCATCATCGACTGGGCACGGTGGCTACTGCGAGTCCCACTATTTCACTTCGAGGCCGAAATCTGGCTCTTCAGGTGTGCGCATACCTCAAGCTCCGACTCTTCCAGGGCGACGTGAAGGCGGCCTTCCTCCAGTCCCAGGCCTCTCCGACGGGCGTACTGGCGGAGCCAGTGAACGAGCTCAGGGAGACCATGAAGCTCGAGGAGGACGAGGCGGTGATGCTGCCCAAGAAGGCCTACGGCTCATGCGACGCCCCGAAGGAACGGTTCGATGAGATCTCGTCCAAGATGACCAATGCAGGCTGGCTACCATGGAGTTGGTGCCATGGCTGTGGGTGTGGTACGATGGCCAGAAGGTTGTGGGCATTGCGCTCGCCCACGTAGATGACATGGCCATCGAGGATCGATCTGGACAGCGACCTCGCGAACTGCAAGCTGAAGGAGCACAAGGTCTACTGGAACTGGGACCAATGGAAGGCCGATGAGTTCATTCAGGCAGGCCTTGAGATCCCCCAGCTCGCCGACGGGACCATTCATCACTCGTTCTTGAAGGCAGCCAAGTAGATGTCCATGATAGAGGAGTGGCAGAGCCCTCCACCGGGAAGCTTGAGGATGGGCTACCATCGGCGGGCAAGACCGCCTGTCGGGCAGCCATCGAAGGATTGACGCACCTGGTCGCCGCGGACACGAGCATCACGGCCTCCTACCCGAACGAGGCCACCTACGCAACGGTGCAGAAGCTCAATCAGATCGTGCGGACCGCCCACGAAGCGGCGTACCTCGTGATTACATACCCACCACTTCGAAACCCCGTGTTTGTGACCTTTCACGGCGCAGCCTGGGCAGTACGACGTGATGAAAAGTCTCGAGGCGGTGTCATCCAACGACGGATTCTAGACGGAGCACGCTCACCTGCCTCCCCGCGACTGATCGTCGAACGACGCGCTCCAGGCTCGGATGTGAAGTTCAGAGTGGCAATATGACTGACGAGGGGCCGATCTACCGGCGCCTGGCCCTCCCTTGAGATCATGAGCGGCAAGGTGAACCTCCGCTCTAGCACCTCCGAACTACAGAAGACCTCGGCCGCCCTGGTCACTGACTGCAAGGGGCTCTACGACGCGCTGGTGACCAACGTCAGCGCAGGACTGGGAGCTGATGGTCGCAGGAGTGGCATCGAAGCCCTAGGGTTACGGCAGAGCATAGCCTCGAGCAAGACCACTATGCGATGGATGGACTCAGCGGCCATGCCCGCCGACGGCCTCACCAAACGAAGCGCAGAAGATCGTGCAGTGCTCATCGACTTCCTGACCCGCGGTTACTGGCCACTGGTTCATGATGAGACTTTCACCTCGGCTAAGAAGCCCCATGGCGGCTGGCAGGCACGAAATGTTGGACGATGGTGAGATCAGGGATTGCCGGCATGTCGCCCACTCCCAGGATGAAAATCCCGAGTGCGAACTGTGCGACTGGACCTGCAACGACAGCGAAAACAGTCACCTCTACGAGCTCGAGGGCGAGGCGGACCCTCCTGTTTGAAGCGTGCGGTGCCCACAGCTTGTGTTCTCATTCTATGATGTCGCCCTCTCTCTATCTCTCTCTCGCTCTCACGCTAGCTTTCACTCCCATAGCCATTTGATAGACAAGCTACGGTCGATTAGGAGGGGAAAACAATACGAACGCTATCACATCGAAAACACGAGTGTGAGTAGATGGTCGGGGCATCGCGCTGCATCGCCGATGCATCGGCGAGGGCGGGATGCAGAAGAGTGGGCTTCAGATCGCGCCGTATCGACGACCCGGCGCGCTCTGGCGATGTGGCTCAATCCTCCGACCCCATCTTCCCTGCCCACATTTGGGCGACCTGGGGTCTCGTCATTTTCGTCTCTCAGGCGGACGATGGCCATCCCAGGGCACCCCTGCGAGGATGGCCACCAGGGAGTTACCGAACCACATGAGGGCAAAAATGTGTCCGAGGGCGTCCTTGTCGAGGCTGCGCTTCTCGCACGCCTCCGCCACGAGCCAACTCTCGAACCCTGAGAAGAGCAGAGAAGTGGCGATGCCGCCAGTGATACGCCCGACCATGAGGAGCCAGTAGTTGGCGACGTGCTTGGTCATGCAAGACACGATGTAAAGGGCGCAGTACAACTGGCAGCCCCTCTTCCTCCCCATCCTTAGAGTAACAAAAGACGGCATCAACATGATATTTCGGAGGTCCGACCAGATTTCTTGGATCGGCGCTGGACCCTCCTCCCTGGCGCGCGTGGCGTGCCAGTGGCGGCACCCGAGAAGCCGCCAGGGTGGTCAGCGACGATCCAAGAAATCCGCGCGGAACGTCCACACATGCTTATGCAGGCTGTTATTCTTCGAATCCTGTCCGCAACCGAGCCCACGAAGGTCCCGAACATCATCGAGGCGCCGAAGCCGGCCACGAACAGCTGCGAGATCTCGTGACGGCTGAAGCCGTAGGCGTCGTACAGGGCGTAGACGTAAGGCCCCTGCAGCCAGTCGCCCGCGACGCACACGTACCACACGGCGAGGTAGAGCCACTTCAACCGGCTGGCCTCGGCGCTCAGGGCCTTCTCGGCCTTCGGCTGCGACGCCCACGCCAGCGCGACCGTGACCGCGAGCAGGAGGTAGAAGATGACCGCGTATGGCACCCCCATCGGGTCCGCCTTGCCAAAGAGTCCGGCGAGAATCTCTGGTCTCTTGGCGGCACGTGGGCCCCCTGGGAACTCCCGGCCCCATTCCCCGGGACCGATTTTTCACCGCGCCTCAGTTCTTCATGGTCCCAGGGGCCTGAGAAAAGGCGTGCATCTACAGGGCGCCGCAACTGGCGGCAAAACGCTCAGAACATTCTTCGCAACGCCTGAGAGATGTGGCCGCCCCTTCAAAAATCTGCTGACCCAGCGGGCGTGTGTGAGAGGCCCTTCGGCACGAGGCCAGCCGAGCCCCAAAATGAACAACGCCAGCCTCCTTTGAATCGTTGTCGTCGTCAGGAAGATCGAACAAACAAGGGGGAAGAGAACGAGGACCCTTCCCTTTGTCCCCTCCCCCCGAGAAGGGGAGGTTCCGGAAGGGGGGGGGTCCAAAGGGGCGGTCCCGCGGGGGGGTCCGAGGGTTGTGACCCCTCCCCTGCTGGGGGCTTTCCCCACCGGCTTTCGCCTCACGTGCGCCAGCCGCTTTTGAATCCTTGTCGCCGTAAGGGAGATTGAACAACCAATGGGGGATCGAACAATATCGCAATCACGTCGAACGGGAGCCCCTTGCCTTTGTCCCCTCTCCGCTGGGGGGGGTGTCCAGGGTGGTCCCCCGGGGGGTGGTCTTGGGGGTGGGGTCCTGGGGGCGGGTCCCGGGGGTTGTGACCCCTCCCGCGCCGGGGGCCTCCTCCTCCTCCTCCTCCTCCTTCTCCTCCTCCTCCTTCCCCTTCCCTTCCTCCTCCTCGCCGCCTCCTCCTCCAACTGCTCCTCCTCCTCGTATCGATTTGGCGGGCAGAGGGTAAGGGCAGAGATGTCTCCGGTCAACTCTCCCGCTCTCGGCGAACGTTGGCTTTTGACGCCTGCTTGCGCTGTAGGCACCCATGATGAACCCGTTTTCCACCACCACCACCACCATAAGTTGGAAGGGGGGAAGAGGAGGAGGGCGAGGAAGAGGAGGAGTAGGAGGAGGAGGAGGAGGAGAAGGAGGACCCCCTCCCCCTCCAACTTATGGTGGTGGTGGTGGAAAACAGGCCCATCAATCCAGCCTCCACCGAGTCGCCGGCAAAGGAGGCATCGCAGACAGCCAGGCGCTCCCTCCGCGGCCACCCTCCGCGGGCGCCCGATCCCGCGGCGCCGTGGGCGCCCGCCACCGTGGCGGCAGCTCTCGGGAGGCGCCCCGAGGAGGAGAGGACCCTGCCGGCGCCGGCCAGGCGCAATCGGATCCTCGCATACGAGACCGATGCTGCTTCACATCACCAATTTGGCCCCTGCTGACTTTTTCAAAATAATATATTGGGATGAAACGCCGCCGCTGGATATATCGAGCACAGTTGATCACATTCCTCGCGATCGCATCGCATCGCTGCGATCGCATCGCTCAGTCGGCCGATCTTTTCCTCGCACTGCACACATGTACGCCGCAGGCTCTGGCCTACGCTTTGCCCAACCGTCAGGAGAAAGGAAGGCCCGACCTCCCCGTGCCGTGAGCAAAACACCACGGCGGGCAGTCCCAGGACCGTGCGAGAGACTGGCTCGGGATGACCGGGTGACACTGCACTGACAAGGCACGACGTTGTACGCCTGGGGAAAAGGAGGAGGAGGAGGAGAAGGAGGAGGAGGAGGAGGAGCAGGAGGAGGAGGGGGACCAGCGTAAACCCAAGACTCGTTAATTAACAATGTTGGAATACACCTTCCCTTGAAGCTCCCTCTTCACAGGCCCCTGCAAGGGTTCATGTCCACTGAGGGAATTGCCCCGTAGCGGGACAACCGTGTGAACATGGAGGAGGAAGAGGAGGAGGAGGAGGAGGAGGAGGAGGAGCAGGAGCAGGAGGTCTGCCTTGTTGAACTGGAACGGGTTGCCCGCCATGTCTCCGATTCAGCGACGAGCGCACCAAGCGCAAAGGTTCGGTACGGAAAGAAGGTCGGGCCCACTCGGCCTGCGAGGGTTCAGTCAAGACGGCCTTGAGCCAGAAGTGCTGTGAGGCGAGGAGCAGGGGCGAGCACAAAGTGCAAGAGGGGGAGAAAAAAGGATTAGATGGTCATGGGGAGTAAGATAAACTTGATGCCGGTGGTGCGGATGCCAGTTATGATGGCGACGATGATGCGAAACTTATCTTGAAGCGAAGGGAGAAAAGAGAGATAGGGGATGAGGCACACATGAGAAATGCACTAAGATTGGGGTAATGATGGCTTGCAGGTGAGATGGGAGAGCAGAACCAGTCTGACAAGGAACGTGGGGAGGCTCGAGTAGGAGCAGGAGCACGCGGAGGCGGAGTAACGACAGGGTGGGAGGAGGAGGAGGAGGAGGAGGAGGAGGAGGAGGAGAAGGCGTATGCGGCGCAGGATGGTTGTGAGGAGGCGGAGGAGGCTGGCGACGGGTTCACTCCTGGATTGGCAGGCAAGATGATCAGGACAAGCCTCTGCGAAATTTGGCAGCTGGCGGAACAGGAGGGAGGAGGGAGGAGGGGCAGGAGTGGGATGAGTGGATTAGATGAGACGTTGCGCTGCGCGCGAGTCCACCACTTCCCCAGATATCCGACGTCGTGTCGTTTTGTTCTCAACGTGGCTCCTCATAGGTCTGGACCCCGTCTCGAGGACCAGCCTTTCGCCCCGAGCTTTTGTTTTCAGGTCATGCCCCCCAGCAGCCGAAAACGGCGAAGCAAACTCCGGTTTAGATTTGCCACGACGCGATACGAACACTGGTCCCTGGCATTCCGGGCTATGACTCAGGTCCCCCGCGGCCGCCGAGGACGATGCGCGCACTCCTGGAATGCAATGTGCGAGGAGATGCTGCCAGAAGGCATCCCGCGGCCAGAAAACCGCCCAGAACTGACGAAAGCTTCTGAATGCCTCGAACCTCGACTCCCCCTCCTTTAAAGGCCTCCCAAATTGGGTCTGGGTAGATGGCGTCGAAGAGTCGCGTCGCAACGCCGATGCATCGGCGACGTCGGCGATGCATCGGCGCCGCCGGCGTGGAGAAACTCGGGCAGCACATCGAGGCACATCGCCAATGCATCGGCGATGCGGAGTCACCCTCCCTCCCCATGTGCTCGGACCCCATCTGGGAGGCCTATATCCTCCCCCTCCGACAGCCTCGAACCCTCGAGCCCTTGGGGGCGTGCGGCGCCGTCCTCGTTGAGGCTGCGGCACGGGTGCTTCCTGCGCGGACGCCGAGCGCTCGGGATGCGGGCGCTGGCGCCCGCAGGTCTCCCCGTGTGCTGCCTTCTCCTCTTCCTCCTACTCCTCCTCCTCCTCTTCCTCCTCCTCCTCCTTCTCCTCCTCCTCCGCTCCTCCTCCTCCTGCCCTGCCTCCTGCCCTACTTCCCCGTTCCCTGTCCCCTCCGTCTTCTTCAATCTTTCTGCGCCCTCCGTCTGCTCCCTCCCTCCTTCCCTCGCCTCGCTGCTCCGCGTCCCCATCCCCAGTTTCCCGCCCCCTCCCCTCCCCCAGCGAATTCGCCCACTTCATCCCTCCGCCCTCATCCCTCCATTGCCTGCAATCCTGCGCATCCTCCTGCTGCTTCTCCTCCTCCCCACTCCTCTCACTGCCCTCCTCATCCTGCGACTCCTCCTCCTCCTCCTCCTCCTCCTCCTCCTCCTCCTCCTCCTCCTCCTCCTCCTCCTCCTGCCTCCTCCTCCCTTCTGCTCATACTCCTCCTCCGCCCTGCTCCTCCGCCGCCGCGACTCGGGGGCCGTTCGCCTCCACGAAAACTGCTCCCGACCACGCACGCCAGCGTGACTCCCCGACCCTCGCACGCGGTGCGGCAACAGCGGCCTGTGCGCTCGGGGCTGCCCCCGCATCCAACGTCGGGAAGTTCCACGGCGTGTCTCCCCAGAGAACCGCCTCGCCATCACGCGTCGTCGGGGCCTTGCTGAGGGCCCCCGGAGGCGGAACACGTCCCAAAAACCTCCCGTTGTGAGTTCTGGTCGCGACGCGAGGATGCCAGGGCGCCCCCCCCCCACCCGCGCCCTGCGAAAGCCGCGCGCCGGAGGTCACCCTTGAGAATCGGGTGGTCGTTCCAACGTGGGGGCCAGAAATGGGGGGGGTGACGAAAGGAACACGCTTGGGCCCCCTTTTGGGGGCTCCTCGAGGGTTCCTGCAGTCCTCGAGTTCCCCGTGCTTCTTGCCCCAACGTTGCCGACCGACCGAACGAGGGGCCGCCCTCTCGCGTTCCCGTGGACTCTGGCGGATGGCCACCCTTTCGCGCGCTGCTAGGGCGACGAGGGCGTCCTCAACCACGATGCACTGCAGAGGGACCAAGACTTCCGACGCCTCGAGAAACTCCATGCGAAATTGTTTCGCAATCTTCGGCCTCAGGGGGCCCCCGTCCGGACCCGAACCGGGATGGACAGCCGACCTTCTCCCCGGGGATCCCGCACCGAGAAGCTCAAGAGACGCTGGATGCCTGCGGAAGCAAGGACGACAACGGCGGCGAGGACGAGGCCCCCTGGGACGCCAAGCACACTGCCCACGCCCGCGGTCGGAGGCTGTGCGTGCCAGCGCCGTGAGAGGAGGAGGAGGCAACTTCGGCCCCGTGGGGCTGCAGTCGTCGCCTCTCTTCATGCCTACACTGGTGGCGGCGGTGTGAGTGGATTGTACCGCCCCCTTCTATCGGTGTGCCGCTCTCTGCGGGGCCACGACTGGGGGTCGGTGTGCACCCAATGCGGTCGCAGTTGCGACATGCCCCCCCCCCCCCCCGCCCCGCCCAAAAACCCAGCTCGCTACAAGGAAGAGGCGGAGGCAGGATGAGGACCGGGGGGGGGAGAGGGAGGAAGGGAGAGAAGGCCGGAGGAGGAGGTCGAGGGAGGGTGGGGCAGGATGAAAGGGAAGGAAGAGAGAACGAGGAGGAGGAGGAGGAGGAGGAGGAGGAGGAGGAGAAGGAGGAGGAGGGGCGGGGGGGAAAGAGGAGAGGGGAGGGGAAAAGGAAAAGGGGGAGGGATGGATGGATGATGATGAGGAGAGATTGATGCGAGAGGAGTGCGAGAAGAAGGTGGCAAGAGGCAAGCGAGAGGTGGCCGAAGCTCCCCATGGGGGGACGCTCACCCGTGAAACTGTCTTCCATGCGAGGACAAGGCCACGGCGACCTTTGTAATAAGGAGACGCGTTCACAGTTCAGTCAGCAGATGCGGACACGGTCAATTTTGGCGGAGCGGATCAATACAGGAGCGCGGCGAAAGAGCAAGAGGCAGCCGCGGAGGGTGGATACATCTTCGCATGCGGCAAGCGAAAGATGGGCAGCATGAGGAGCGCCATGCGGACGCGGAGACGCAGAATAGGAGAGCGAGCCAGAGGTGTACGCGAAGGGGGAGGGAGGAGGACAACGAGGGAGAGTAGGACAAGGGGACAGAGTCGGAGAAGGAAAAGAAGGATGGTGGGAAGAACGACGACGAGCAGGAGAACCAACATGAGGAAGTCAGGATGAGGATGAGAAGGACAACAAGCAGGATAACGATTAGCAAGACGAAACGCAAGGCAAGGAACGGGAGGGGAAGGAGGAGGGCAATGATAACAGGGAGCAGGGACTGTGTTCAATAACGGCGGACCAACCACCAGAAGGGTTGGAGACACACGATCGTTGTAATGAGGTTTGGGAACACATCTTCGTGCCAGCAGATAGGTATCATCATGCACTTGCCCGAAACTGGCGAAAGCCATTGAGATACAGATGGTAGGCCCGCTCTTTTGCCCAGTGTCTTGGACGACCAAGCATGTGTAAGAGATCCAGACCCACGGGGCAACACCTCCTGATCAGCTGGCACATGAAACGCACCCAAGGCTACAGCCTACCAAGTCTTGGTAGTTTGTAATTCCTCGGATCGGTCGGGCCGACTGGACCGAGTCGGACCGACAGGAAGCACGGTTTTGGGAGCGCGCAAGCTTCGGCCAGATTCCCAGAAATGTCCGACCTGACTCTGTTCAAGACGCGGCTCCCGAGGGGTCTGACCTCCCCGTGGACTGGCTGCTCATCCTGGGTGCCCTCTCACAGCTCCACGGCCCAGCAGAGAACCCCGAGACGCCGGAAGCGGCCCGAAGCCCTGCCGTCGTGCCTGCCCCACGGCGCGAGGACGTCGGGGCCCCGGGGCCCACGGAGCCCGGCCCGGCCCCTGGGCCGCGACCGCTGGGCACGGGCGCGCCTTTGCGAGGCTGCCCCGCGCGGAACACATCTGCGGGATTTGCGCCCTGGAGCCCAGACCGCGAGGGCGTAGGATCAAGGATCGATCGAGGGTCGGGCATCGAGGACCGATCGAGGATCGAGGATCGATCGAGGATCGAGGATCGATCGGAGGATCGGAAGATCGAGGATCGAGGATGCCGGGAGCCCTCGCGTGCACACCCACGCCCCCACGCGAAGCCGTGGGCGTCCACCGCCTGCTAACGCGAGCACGTGAGCGACGAGAAGCAAGGGGGCATCACGCAAGATTGCCTAGCGCCCTTACGCCGCGGCCTACGCGGCGTAACGTCATCGTGCTACCATCAGGAACGCACACTCATGAACGAAGGTTGTCTTTTGGCCACGGCTGGCCCATGCCTCAAACAAGTCCAACGACATACATCTAAGGAACAGCACGGAAAGCCGAGCCCCTCCTGAGCCCAAAGCGGTCATCGTCTTGACTGTAGCGACCTTACGCCGCGGCCTATGCGGCGTAAGGTCGCCATCGGACTTGCCGCAGTGAGCCGCGAGGGCCCAGCAAGGTGGCACCAGAGCGCCACTGTGCTTGATCTGAGGGAGGAGCGGCGAGCGACCACCAAGAGCCATCCCCGAGCGACACCACGGGCAGACCTCACGGCGAAGAGGGCGCTTACGAGCGAGAGCACGTGGGAATCCTACGCGCGGCGATGCGGCGCGATCCTCCGACCCCATCTGCTCGGGCCCCTTCTGGAGAGGCCTTGCCATCCAGCGCCCCCAAGGGCCGCGAGGGGACCTCAATCCATGACCTTGAGGGATGAAAAAACGACCCTACCCTGGATTACAAAAGCGTGGTATGGAAGCCTCCTGGGAACCCCCAAAGCCTGGAGCCGCCAGGACGCGGCACATCACGCAGGATTTACCCTGTCAGCCCACAGGAGTTTCAGAGTACAGCGCCTCGTAAACCAGGGTAGGGGCGTTTTTTCTTGCCCTTGATGACCGCCTGCGCCCTTGGCCGCCGCGGCGCGGGGCCCTCGTGCTCCAGGCTTCATCGGCCATGGCCCTCCCTTCTGGAGCGAGCGGCGCCTACAGCAGTTTCCTCGGCCCACGGCCGCAGACCTCCTCGCGCGCGCCAGCGTCTCCGAGTCCCCGCTTGGGGCGGCCCTCCTTACCCTCGTGGAGCGGCCACGAGGGGGGCGTCCAAGAGGGGGAGGTGCACATCATGGCCGGCGGCATGTGCGCAGCCCAAGGGGGGGGGGGGGGGGGACAGGGACGTAGTGAATTAAGAAGAGGCCATGAACTCTGGGGAAACATCCTGGCCCACGCCCTGAGATCCACCCCCCCCGTGGTCATCACCCCCCTTCTTGCCGCCCCCGATGCCCTGCCGATGGCCGTTCCCACCAGGCCCCCCCTCCCCCCCCGCCCGACGATCTGGGCCTCGAGGCCCGGTTCACCTTCGCCTCGGCCAGCATGCGGCGGATGTTGCTGGGCGCCTGAGCGGGCGCACGCCCCTCCCATCCGGCTCCCCCGCCCTCGGGCTCCGCGCTCCCGCTCCCAGCGCCTCGTCCTGCTGCCCCCGCCACCGCACCCCACGCCTCACGGGCGATGTCTGCTGCCTGCTGCTCCTCCTCCTCCTCCTCCGCTTCTGCTGCGCACGCCACCATCCGCAGAACCAGCCGAGGGTCACGTGATGTCCCCCGCAGCATCGGAAGCTAGCCCGGCAAAGGATCCACCTCTAAGCCTGGGGTGGACCTCTCCTTCTACTGCGCTCCGTGGGAAAAAAGGGGTAGCTTGGAGCTCTTTATGCGGCACGACCCGCGTGAGGGTGGGGGGTCGAATTGAGACGGCTCATTGGGGCTGTAGATGGAGCTCGCTATCGAGCACGATCCGCTGGGGGGGGAATTGTGGCGGGGACAATATAGGGCAACGAACACTGGGTTTGCATGTTGCAATCTCTGTGGGATGCGATCCGCGAATGAGGTGTGCCGACTTGAGGCGGGACATCGTTTTGTGAGCTCACTGGGACCGTATCTGCGTGAAGCTCAGGTAGTGCAGTGGCTGGCAGCGGCACCCGCCCCTGGCAACGGCAGGAGCAGCGGCTGGCAGCGGCACCAGCAAAAGCAGAGCAGCGGCATGCAGCAGATTGCGCAGTAGCAGCGGCAGGAAGGGGAGGAGGGAGAGGAAGGATACGCGCGGTGCTGTGGATTGAAGGCGGGGACCCAACTCCACAGTAGGCCTGTGATCAATATCAAGCTGACTTCGGTTTCCAAACATCGTTTCAGAAACTTCGTTCGCCGTTTGCAATAATTGAGTACCAACCAGCAGCACCATGAATACCTTGTCTTCCCCCTCCCCTCCCTCCCTTACGCCCACCCCTTCCCCAAAAATCTCACCAGCCGTTTTGGGCGTCAGTGATTTAGCGCACTTCCTCTTCCAACCCTGTCTTCCCCTTCGGGGAGGGGTTACCCCTCCACAATTACATAATATGAATACGACTCTCCTCTCTCCCCTGATGATGTCCGGAAGATGCCCGGCCCCCCTCCGCATAATTATTGTTCCTTGACACACAGGATTCCTGGGAGTTGGCTTTTCGCATGTTTTTGTTCCAAATGTGCTCCCGCTGAAGCGCTGGCCACATTTCTGCGCCTCAGTTTGTTCCAAATCGTGCTCGAAATCGTGCTGCTGCTGCAGCGCGGGCGTTTTTGGTCCTTCCAAGTAGGCCCCCAAACTAGAAACTTGGCTCCGAAAAACATCGGAAGTGATTGTACATTCGGTGCCGATTCATTGACTGTTTGGCCCGTAGGAACCCCCTCACTTTGGGGCGTCGTCATTTTCAGGAAGTCAAGCGGGAGCCCCGTCTCTGCTTTGAGAAGGCGATGTTGAAAGCAGAGCCAGCGGGTGCTCTCCATCAGCCCCGCCTTGTGTGGAGCTTTCGGGAAGCCGAAGGAGCTAGACATGGATCCACGACCCCAGGCCGGCCCAGACCTCTCGAAGACGATCCACTTAACCTCCAAGGAACCTGGCGCCATGCCATGACATGCTGTGCGGTGTTGTGTTCTGCGCCGCTGTGCGATGCCATGCTTTGCGTTGCAATGCTTTGTGATGCAGTGCTTCACTGCGCGATGCCTCGCCATGCAATGGCATGCTACGCTCTGCCGTGCTCTTCTACGCCATGCCATGCTGCGCTCTACCATGTATCGCGTACCCTGTCGCGATCACTGCCCTGGTCGACATCCGACTGTGCGAATAGAAAGGATCTGTACGCCATGGTAAAGGGTTGAAGGGAGGGGTAGGACGTCAGATATGACGCGAGGGCACCTAGATTGCCCCACCCCCTCCCCCTGGACCTGGCGGGGGAGGGGGCGACCGATTGGAGCGTCCAAGACGGCCTCGGCGAGACGACGCAAATCATTGATGTCACTCAAAGTTTTGGACCCATGTTGGCCTCCCGGGGGGGGGGGAATGTAATACCCCCCCCTTCTTTGATCGATCTCCTCCGATATGACCCCAACATGGCCCCCAAGTATCCCAAAAGGGCCCCAAGGGTGCACCAATAGGGCCCCGAGAGGCGCGCAAAAGACCCCCACAGGCCCCAAGAGGTTCCCAAGATGCCCCTAAGAAGCCCCTACGAGCAGGCCCCAAGAGGTTCCCAAGAGGCCCCTAAGAAACCCCTACGAGGCCCCAAGAAGCTTTCCCGGCTAGGACCACCCAAAGGCTCCCAAAACGCCCAAATGGGATCCCGAGGAACTCTCAAGACACATCCGAAGAGACTCCGAGAGACATCTCAGAGGCCTCTGGTCTTTCCTCTCGCCTTCGGCCTCCTCCTCCTCGTCCTCCTCCTCCTCATGTTCCTCCTCCTCTTCCTCCTCCTCCTCCTCTTCCTCATCCGCCTGTTCCTCCTCCTCCCGCCGTGCCCAGGTCTCGCACGGACGCGCGTAGGGATCTCCTCTGCCGCGCTGCGACAAAAAAATCCTCCTCCCTCCTCCCCCTCTCCCCCTCCTCCCCACCTACCCCTCCTCCTCTTCCTCCTTCGATTCCTCATTCGTTCTCCCCCTCTTTGGGTACGACGACTCCCCCAGCCCTTTATTCAACCGCATGCTCCCCACACATCCCTGATCAGGGCAACTCGCCTGGGCATGATTTCTGGATGGGCGGGCGGGTATTTTTTTTACAGCCGCGGGCGGAAGCGCCAGCGGCGGCGGGTAACGGTCGGGCTGCGGCCGCTACAAATTGGCCGGGGGCGCGCGCGTGCCGCGGCCGGCGCCGGGCGGCGGGTGCAAGAGTGCTGCTGCCCAGGGAGTCTGATGGCGAAACCAGCACCCAGGGAGAAGTAATTACGCTGCCAAAGTGGCGCGATGCAAGACCCCCACCGTGTCAGAGGCTACAGAACAAATGCGGTCTGAGACACTAACTGAACAGGAGGAAGTCCCCAACCTCGGCGGGAATAAGGTGCGAGGGGATCCAGGGGACCTGCCATGCACAAGCATCAACCGAAAGACACACGAGCAGTCGTCAGTCGGCATCCCCTCGAAAGGTTAGGCTCTGACAGCGCCAGCGAACCGTCGCAGCTTCAGAGTACGCACCCACACAGCCCAAAGGCGTGGAGTTCGTGGTGTCAAACCGAACTAAGCACGCCAGGCCCAGGAGACAGCCGCGAATGGATGCGAACGCAAGCGACCATCAAGTGACATGATGTAACGCTATGCGGAAGGTACAACAGTCCCAATCCACACGGGCGGGTATACGCGAAGCGTCTAGAACGGAAACAAGAGAAAGGCACCAGCATAAACGTCCGCTGGAAAGCGCGGACCCCCTTCCCTGGCGCGCGGAGCGCGCCAGCGGTGGCACCGGATGCGCCGCCGGGGGGGGGGGGGGCCAGCGCAGAGCCAAGAATTCGGCGCGGACCTTCGACGTGCTATGTGCTATGTTGATGCTGTTTATTCTTCCTCGAGAGATGCCCGTGTGTGGGCACGAAGCGCAGGCGAGTTCAACAACGATGTCAAGGAGAACATCCTCGGTGTATCTGCTGGCATGCGGCCAGAATCTGGTGCTCGGGCGGCGCGACGCGCCGGGAGTGAGGCCGCCGAGCTGGATCACCTGCTCACAAGGCGGCCCGCAGCGCTGCCCCGCATCAAGCCTTACGCGAGACGGCGTAGCGAGCTTAAGCCGTGGCTTTCGCGGGCCGCCAGCGCGGCATGCTACATTGGAGAAGAGGGCGTTACGCGCGAGATTGCGCGGGCAGCTTACGCGTCAATGTCGGCGCGGCCGACCCAGTTTTCCTCGGTCGCTGCCATCCGTCCCCATCGCCCTAATACCCAGGCTTCAGGGCGCCAAAAGGCCCTCGTCTGGTGGTTGACCAAAACCTTTTTGTGCCCATCGCTCCTGTGGTGCTGCCCGCTGGGCTGCCGGTGCGGGATCCGTGGACAGCGCTACAGCGCCTGGCGGTGAGCCATATCTGAGGCCGAGCGCCACGCTCGGCCAGGCTACCCCGGTTCCGCGCTGGCGCAGGCGCGGCGCGGACGCCCCATCGCCACCGCGCGGGCGGCTGCTGCCGTCGCCGCCGTCGTCGTGGGTCGAGTCTCTGTGGGCGTCTCGTCGTCGTCGTCGACGCGTCGTGTCCCTGTCGTCGTCGTCGTCGATTTCGTCGTCGTCGTCGTCGTCGTCGTCGTGAGTCGTCGTCGTGAGTCGTCGTGAGTCGTCGTCGTCGTCGTCGTCGTCGTCGTCGCCGTCGCCGTCGTAGTCGTCGTCGTCGCCGTCGTCGCCGTCGCCGTCGCCGTCGTCGTCGTCGTCGTCGTCGTCGTCGTCGTCGTCGTCGTCGTCGTCGTCGTCGTCGTCGTCGTCGTCGTCGTCGTCGTCGTCGTCGTCGTCGTCGTCTTCCGTCGTCAGTGGTCGTCGCCCTCGTCGTCGTTGTCGTCGCCGTCGTCCACGTCGTCGTCGTCCTCGTCGTCGCAAGCGGCCTGTTTTTCCTCTCTGACTGGACGTGGGTGCGCGCGGGGCCAACCTAGAATCTTAGAATACTAGCCACTCTACCTAGGAAGGAGGGGGAGAGGGAGATGACAGGGGTGGTGGGCAGCGGAAGGAAGAGGTGGTGGTGGTGGTGGAGCCAGGATGAGGAGGACGGCGGTGCTCGACCAGCCACTTTCAAAGTGGTTCGGGCCCTATTGCTGTGTCTCGTCGCAGCGGTTGGCGATGGCGGCTTCGACTTGTCGAGACGCCCGCGCGGTTCGAGCGGCTACCCATCTGAGAAAGTCGACGAACACGGAGGGCGGAGCTACAGTGGGGGAGGGCGGGCTCGGGGTGCGCAGGCTCGCAGGCTCCCGCCGAGGGCGAGGCGCGCCAGACACGAGCGAGGAGGAGGGAGGAGGAGGAGGAGGAGGAGGAGGAGGAGAGGGGGAGGAGGAGGGGAGGAGGGGAGGAGGAGGAGGAGGAGGAGGAGGAGGAGGAGGAGGAGGAGGAGGAGGAGGAGGAGGAGGAGCCGCCCGGGGGAGGCGGA